TCCCATGGAATTGGATCTCAATTATTGGGACAACAAATCCAATTGGGATACGACTGACACCAACAATAAGTATTACATCAATACTGGAAACGTGTTGGAACCTGGTTATTGTTTGTATCATTATCAAGTTGTGGTAAATATGATTGACAACAAGTATTTTTACAAAGAAATAAAGCCATTTACTGCATAATATTAGGTGAATACAGGAGCTAATTCATGTTCGGGTCAGTTTGATATACAACTGTCAAATGGAAATGACATCAAGGTAACTTTAAGTACTGCCAACCAAATTGCTACCAATGGTGGTCAGGGATACACCACTCTCTATACAACTCCACAACAACTACCACTCAATACAACGGCTACTATTAACCCACAATTGGGCACTAATTGTAATATAACTGAAATTGACTTCAATTTCATGAGCAATCGCGACCCAAGGTTTGAATTGATATATATTTAAAGTATTATATGAATGAATTCAATTAATTTTTATTTTCAATAGTATTCGCAACAGTCTATCGTTGAACTTGAATTCAACGAATGGCCAGAATTTTAGTTAAAACAATATTCAATTGTTTGTAAGACTGACAAAATTCACATTCAGTACTTTACCAGTATATGCGAAATTATGTTAATAAAATTTTAAATTTATTATCAGCAAAATTTTAATTATTCTTAATCATATTGAAACAAAGTGTAGTGGACTAATGTTTGCCACTATATACGGTAATAATTTAAATACTGAAAATCAGTTAAATTGCAAATAATTAAATAAACAAGTTTATATACAATAATAATCAACTGAAATAAGATTAATAAGACTAATAAGTGGCTAAATAGAGCTGAGATCTCCTAACGGCTGCCATTGATTTTGCGTTCATTTGTTTCAAGAATTTTTTGCTGTTTTCTTCACTAATCTCTCTGAATATGATGTCTTTGTCGACCACTTTTGAGCGATGATTAAACACATCAATGAAGTCATGCCACTCGTAGTCATTCTCCAATTCAAACGCAATATACCTCTCAATGATATCTTAGGGAAATATATGGCAAATATAAATGAAATAATAACTTTTAAGTGTTCAATTCATTTGAATACCATCTGAATTAACATTAAACTTGAATCCATTAACCGCTGATTTGAACCCCAATTGCATAGAGACCTGTATTTTCTTATTAGACTCTTCTGTCACTTCCATTAATACCAACGGAAGGCATGCCATCCGACAGTACATCACACGCTGGATATCACCGAATGGAACCGTTATATGATATTTGAAATTAATGTCTGAGATATTGGGTTTAATTGCAATCAATTTGATAGACTGTGTGCTCAAATTAAAGCACCGGCAGTCTGTTAAATAGTTGCCAAAGAGCATGTATTTAGTGGACATCTGGACCGTCACTGAACTGTTGAGCACATGATTGGCCACGAAATCGAGAATCCCCTGCAGTTTGTGTCCATCCGTGCGATTCTGCTCTTCATTTGTGTCATTCATCTCTTTATTCAATTCAATCATATTCTCGAGGAATCCGTTCAACGGAATCGTCGATTCGGTAGTCAATTGGCCGTCAATACAGTCATCACATGTGGACAACAAATGAGTGGCATTTCCGGTACAATACGTGCACTTTAAGTGATTTGTTGAGTATCTGTCTTCGTTTGGACCCATGTTTTACTCAATTATTTCATTAATTGTTAGCATTAATCATAAATAATATCAATTCTATTGTGGCATTCATTCACATTATTAGACACATCAACATAAACTGTAAGGTATTATTAAAAAGACTAGTTATTCACACTATATTGTAGAAATTGTATCATTTAAAGTCTCAATTTGAAATATCAATACATTTATAGTGAACACCTCATTGTATAAGTAATTTAATACTACAATTTGAATGTTTACCAAATATATTTTCTACAAAACTTTTAATAGTTATGTTCATATGAGTTCAAATACACAAATAATTTTAAATTGACTTATTAATTAGCCTTTAATGAAATGAATTTTTATTTTCATATTATACAGAAAAATGCAAATAATATGTATTATAAGGAAATATTTATTATTATAAAGTATATGATGTTTAGTGTTTAGTTCGTACAACAGCCACAATAACCGCCGACAATACAGCACTGGGGGTACCCATCATCGCAACAGTAGATCATAGCACAGGGACTGTCGCACACCCAACAGTTATTGGCTGAGTTCAGGGCAAAAGCCGATGAATTCTTTCCTAAGTTTAAATGAATTATAAATAAAACATATTTTACTTATAGTTAGTTATAAGGCATACCCTGTTTAAAGTCCTCAACAAACGTTCCTTTAAATTGTTGACTGACTCGGGGGATAGTCTTTGCATATTTCTGGTTTACATTCTTGAAGTCACCTAATATTTACATAAATCAAAATAATTAGAATTTTTTTAACATTATTTAACTATAATTAATACAAACCAATGGTGAAGACAACGAAAAGTACAGTCAATACAGCAATCATTGAACGCATGTTTGAATTGAATTTAAGTTACTTGTAACTTGTTAACTTGCAAAATTATTAAAGTTGCTTATGTTTTTGTTTGTTATATTTTGTATGTTTTGCGTGGCTTATATACTCATAATTTTATTGTTATTTATGACCAAAATTTATTTATTACAATGTTATCAGAAGTTTATAATTTCCTTTTTTTCTAGAAATTGTAATTTATTAACGTATTTAAAATTACAACAAAATAAAAGCAATTCTCTTATCAGTTAATAAGATAAATATGAATTGTCTGCTCACTTATGTAACTCTTATCAGTTTAGATAACTCTACAGGTATTCAAAACCATATTATAATCGTGTTACTATTGCTATAAAAGTATTATTTGTTTTTAAATTATATCAGACTTTAATCAATGTTATTTGTTTTTCAAAATAACTCATTTTAATCGGAATAAGTTTGATGTCATTCGGGAATTAATTAACAGTAAATAAGATTGTATTTTATTTGTTTAAAATTTCCATTTATTTCGAAATAATTAAATATATTGCATGAAAATCAATTGAGCAATATTGGAAGAACTTATTATTACATTCTTAAAATATTAATATTTGAGTAAAACATATACAACCGACTCGTGTAATTAAACTTAGATTTTAATTATAATTATAATAAATTATAAAAGATATTAACAAACACAGTGTTTTATTTATATTAACCAGTAATAATTAAAAATTTAGAAATTTTTAAGAATATTCTTTGCAAGATTTTGTTGCTAATACTGTGTCAATATCCTAATTATCATTGACTTGAATTTCTTTCTAACTTCAATGAAATATATTAATAAATATAACATTGGATACACTACAGTAATTAACTAGACATCATTCTTAAGATAATCTCTACAATAAATATACTTGTTTATTTAGGAAGTATTGAATTAAAACAATGTCATAATATTATTGAATCACTTTATCTTTAATTTTCTAGCTATTGCAATGTTACAATGTAAGGCATACCAAATTCAATTTGACAGTATTATGAATTGCGGTTTACTGTTAATAACTTTTATATTTTTATTTAAATACATACTTCGTTAAGAATTTTATTTAACAAAATATTAAATGAACAATTTAATAACTAATTAATATAATTTCAATGTTACTTTAATAGATTATTTTTAAATCATTTAATTTAGAAGCTATATGAACCTGTATCATTTATATTTATAGTCAACGCATATTATTGGTCTTTATATTAACGATATATTAATTACTTAAAAAATAAAATCTTTTATTAAATAATTTTTTTAATATACATTTTAATTTTTAATTTCTTACTAATTTGTTGATTATTTGAATCTATGTTTTATACAATTCTTTAATCAATTAATTAATTTTTAATACAAATTATACTTTCACTTTCATTATCAATTTCACTTTTTTTATTAGTTTTACATGACCATTATGAAATTTCCGGATTAATAAATTTTTGGAAATTCTATTCATAGCTATGAGAAATGAATTAATTTAGAAAAACAAATATTATATTTTCATGAAATTCTTTGTAATCTATTAATTAAAAACAAACAACTCTTTCAACACATAATTATCACATTTTGTTATAATATTAGTTATATAGAGGTAATGCTATAATGGATGATAAGAATTACATAAGTGTGCACACAATTCATATGCTATCTTATAAGATTAATAATGCATTGCTATTGTCAATAATTTATTTATTTATTGTATTTTAAAGATTATGAGTTATACTTAAAATTTTTAAGGAAATCTGAAAATATTGATTACAAGTAAAAACAAAACATTTTAGCAATAATAGCACGTTGTGTTTGGTATATAAGAGACTGAAAATCTTTCCAATTTTCATAACAAACAAAACCTTAACAAATAATTAACTCTTTAATTAAACATTGGTTTCAAATTGAATTTAATTTCAAATATGCGTTCAATGATTGCTGTATTGACTCTCCTATTCGTTGTGTTCACTATCGGTGAGTATTATAACCTTTTAACAATTATTATTATTATATGTGATTTAAAATGTATTAAATTATATAATAATTGAATATTAGGTGACTTCAAGAATGTTAACCAAAGATATGCGAAGACTATCCCGAAAGTGGCCGACAGTTTTAAAACCACTTTTGTCAATGAATTTAAGCAAGGTATATGAATTACTTTTTATAATAAGTGATGCTTACTAATATAACGTATAATGCAATTATAGGCCACAACGTGAGCACATACCCCGATAACTCGGATAAGGTGTGTTGGGTGTGCAGCAGACCCTGTGCTATGATCTACTGTTGCGAAGGTTCGAACCCCCAGTGCTGTAGTGTCGGCGGTTATTGTGGCTGTTGTACGAACTAACCACAAAGTTTATTAATTCATTTATTAAATATCCTATCTGTATCATATTAATCAAATCATTCAATTAAAGATTTTAATTTTTTAATAATTTATATTGTATAACAAAAATATACAAACTTACAGATTATATTATAGGTTTTATGTAAAGTATATGTATGTGTCTCATATAAAGACCAATAGTAAGGGTTAGTTATAAATATAAATGATAGACATGATCTGTTTAACATTCAATTGTAAAGTGCATTGAAAAACCTTATATAAAATATTTATACCATTTCTGTCATTTTATTAAATATTCTTTGAGATATCCTTACTCCTGAAACACGAATTACGTTATAATATTATATAGAATTGATTTAATCACAAGTAAACGAGTTAATAACAAATTTGACAACCTCTATTGTCACTACCACCTTTTATGATTTAAACTTGTTAAACACAAAAATTCGGAATAATATGTTCATAACATGTAAGAATTGCATTTATCTTCCTGGTAAACTACTATTGAACACATGTATGCATTATAAATGCTAATATGTTTATATCCAAATATTTTTATCCGCTTCGGCGAAAGAAAATAGCAAATACTAAGCATTAAGTTATAAAATATTTAATTTACTAATAAAAGAGATGTTTCATAAATTATTTTTATATTATATTTGTTACTGACGGCATAAGTTGTATAAAAAAAATTAAAAACTTTATAATTTTATATACTAAATAAAGATTTTGTTTAACAAACAATTCATTTAAAATTGTATAAAATGTTAAGAATTGTAACATTGTACACATTCATACTAATTTGCAATTCGCAATCATTGTCTAATGGGGTATGTTTTGCTTGTTTAAAAATTTAAATATTTACAATTTAAATGCTTTCAAAAATAATATAACCAATCAATTTTAAAGGTAAATGAAGTTGCAAATTCATTCGTAGATCTTTCTAGTGCTCTACACGGTTTGTAATTATATGTTGTTTAAACTTTGTGAATTATAAATTGAATATTTTTATAGCTTTACTAAACAAGGTCCCTGTGAATAGAAAATATGATTATTGTTTTGGCAATTATACGAATGGATTCAATGGTTTTATTAACCATATGACTGGTCTTCTGCCGATGAGTCCCAATCAAATGGACGTGAAGTTCCTGTTATTCACGTGCAATAATCGGGATAACTCTCAAAACCTAACTTACCTGTCCCAACCTAACGAGTGGACAGCCGCCGGCTTTAACATTAGTGCCAGGACCAAATTTATCGTTCACGGCTGGCTTGAAAAGTACCCTGGTGGAATTCAATCAGATTGGTATAATTGGATGGAGGTTTGTCTAGTATATCAATAAGCCTTCAATAAGGTATGAATTATTTGTTAATTATTTGTGTCCAGCAAATGAAAAACGTAATTTTGAACAACTCGTGCGCTAATGTCGTGGCAATCGATTGGTATAAACCAGCAAGTACATCGTATTTAATCCAATCGGTGTCCAATACTAAAATTGTGGGACAAATGATTGGTTGTGTAATCAATAGACTGTCCGCTAATTTAGGTGTTGATCCGCAAGACATTCATCTGATTGGTCACAGTTTAGGATCACATGTGGTGGGCTTTGCGGGCAAACACGTAACCAACCCTAACGTAGGTCATATCACGGCAACTGACCCTGCTGGACCCGGCTTTATTGGACAGCCTCCTCACAACAGATTAGCTGTCGGTGACGCCAGCTTTGTTAGCGTCATTCATACGAATGGCATTCCAATCAATGGTTTACCTGTAATCCAAGGTTAATGTAGTTTAATTGATCAATGAAAAATATAATTCATATTTAATACTTTGATAGCTTATGCCAGTAATGATTTATATCTGAAAAATAATAAATATGATACAATTATTTAACTTATTACAAAACTTTAAGATTAATCAGAGATGAAATATTACGGGCCTAAGCGATCAAATGTGTTAATTATGCTAATAAATTGTAATATATATTTGAATAGGTCAGGGTTATTCGGAAGCTCTGGGAAATATTGATGCTTATGTTAATGGAGGTATGATGCGTTTAATTGTTAATTATTGTAGCCCCATATTAATAAAATTATTTTTACATTATTACACAAAAATACAACTAAATAGAAAATATATTAATTTAAATTTTAAATATTCATACAAATAAATATTAAACTTTAAATACAATTATATACTCATCAGGTAATCAGCAGCCTGGTTGTAAACCATTTATTAATGCAATTCAATCTACCTCAATTAAAAATATGTTAATCAATGCCAAGAAGGTTAAAAATGGTAATATTGTTTATACAATAATTAGTTAGGTTTGAAATATATATATAGTTTGAATTGAACTTGTTTAAATGCCTCATTAGATGTAAAGAAAAAGATCCTCTGTAATCACATCCGCTCTAACTATTATGCGATTACCGATCAGTCCGACCCTCAAAGCACAGGCTGTCAACCCATTGCCTATAAGTGCGACTCGTATGACAACTTCTTGAGGGGTCTGTGCGCTGACGGCAGTGATAGTCTTCCCATGGAATTGGATCTCAATTATTGGGACAACAAATCCAATTGGGATACGACTGACACCAACAATAAGTATTACATCAATACTGGAAACGTGTTGGAACCTGGTTATTGTT